ATATTGCGTGTGAAAGTGATTTTGAAGATTGAATTACAAAATAATAGCCGGTGACATGACATAGTTTCTGTGTAAAATTGCCGGTCAACAAAGTGTTAAGATAAATTGAAAATTAATTATTGAACACGAGAGTCTGATAATGTATCATGTATTTTAATTTTCATGTTGGGAGTTAAACGGATACGTGGATAGTAATATTTCTCTGAATAGTTTCCAAATTAACGATATCAAGAACACTTTGATTTTCCAAAAATGCTTTAACTAGAAATTACGATTTCTTCTTAAGTATTCTCGCGAAATTTCAAAATTGAAATTCCTTAAAATTACTAGGTTGTGTATAATACACGAATTATAATTGAAATCTGAAGTCTGCATTTTCCTTGAGACAGACTCATTCAACAATTTATATCTCAATTCTAATTAAAATTTGCTTCTTATTACATAATTATAAGATGGTTCTAATAAGTCCTAGTTTAGTCATAGTTAGTCACTATAATTAAAAAACACATCATTTTTAACGATATCGACTGCATAATAATACGAGTCTTATTTCCAACTTTAAAATTCGCTATTACTAAAAAAAAAAAAAAATCGTCAAGGATTTTAATTAAATATGAATTCCTATACCACACTGAATTTTTCCAAATAAATCTTCAAAGAAATGAAAAGGAAATAAAATATAATTTAAGAATAATTCCCCAGTATGAAATTAAAAATTAAAAACAAAAATAAGCTCAATACGACATATGATAAATACATCAAAATTTCGTCCTATTACTCTCATTCTTAATTTTACTTTACATACCTAAAAAACAAAAAGAAAAAGCTTCAATTTATTTTAAATTCTATTCCAAATAAATCTTCAAAAGAATGAAAAAGAATAAAACATAATTTAAAAATATTTTCAAACAATTCCCCCATATGAGATTAAGAATTAAAATCAAAAATAGCCTTTATATAACCCACGATATATAAATATATAAATAAAATAATATATAAAAAAAAAAATGAAAACATTTTCCAAACGATCACTTCGTTCTTTATCTATCGTCAGTAAATGTAGCAGGTTGATTAAAGAATGGGGAAAAAATTACGCGTGCCGGAGCTAGGTAATTGGCGTGGTTTCACGGCGGTAGTTCGATCGGGAATGCAGAGCGCATTGCTCGATCTTTGATAATAGCCATTAACCGATCGGTGAACGTGAGGCGAATCGTGGTACAGCTGCGCGATCCCGTGCTCGCGAAAAGAATGCTCGACTGGCGAAAACGGAGGAGCGCCAGCTTCGTCGCATACTTCTCCGACTGCGCATTGACATTTCGTTGATGTTCCAACGGTCACGTGAAACGTTGATGCGATTTATCCGAGGGAGGCACACCGGAATCCCGATAGTCGCGCGAAAACGGAGCAACGGCGAGTGGTGGGGAGTTTCAGGGCACTATGGGTCGGGCGCAGCAGCGTCCTTAACCTCTCGCGGACCGACGTAGAACTAGACTCGCAGCAGTACGTTCCATTCGATTCTTTCTAATTTTTATACGTGCCCGTGATTATGAAAGTCGCCTAACTCGTGTGTTTCGTGTCGAAATACTTAAAGCTTCGCGATTACATCATGCATCGTACATTAAAAACGAAAATACGTACTGCATTCGACGGTTCTATTCTCTGCTATTTCGTCAAGAATATTTTTATTTTATTGCGATACAAATTAACGCAATTTGAAACGATAAAATTGTTTCTTTCGAATTTTTTACTTTCACCACATTCATAATTACAGGTGCATATATATAATGGGCATTAATTATTCAACCCTCGTGTTTTAATATAGTTTAACCCCTTGCACTCGGAATTATTTTTCAATTTCGTTGCCAATAACTCCCTACTATTTTAAATATTGAATAGAAAAATAGAAAAATATTATTATGATATCAAGTTTTAGATATGATATACTTCTGCTTGTGTATATTATCTTGTTTTTATTATTCTGGTTTTATCATTATGATTCGATGAGTAGAATTTGTATAATTTTAATTCGAAGCACATTTGGGAAACTTTTAACATTGGAACTGTCAAATCAATACAAATGACTAATTTTTGGAAAAGACTTCTGGTCTATACAGTTCCTAAAAACATACAGCTGTCAAAAAACTGTCAAAAAAACATAATGTTCGACAAAATTAATGTTGATTTTTAGTGAGATAAGAGAAGACATAATCGTGTACACTTATTTATTATACGATTTTAATTATTATTGTCTATTTAAAATATATTATTAATTATTAATTCTATACTAATTCTGTACTAACCCATTTTGTAGAAAAATTTATAAATCTTGTAAACAAATAAAAATGGGAATCAATCCGTGAATTATAGCAGTACTCTAATTAGTATTATAATCAGTATTATCTATATCGTAATAATTATGGCAGTATCGTAAACAGAAATTTTAAAAACTTGATAGAGATGATAGTTATTAGAATTTGGAAAATTCCAAGTATGAAATCTAAAATCAAACGGGAGAAATTTAGAATGGATATAGATCATGTCTTCGAGAATTTCTGCGTTAATAAATATCCACGAGTACATGTGGAAATGTAACATGCCAGTCAAAAGTACTCGAACACTTGCTTGCCTTCAACGGGGTGTAATTTCCATGCGAAATTACACGTGAGATTACCTATGATTTCATTTTTCATTCCCACTGCACACACGTATAGTTATAGAATATCGTGGCACGATGATATTGGCCTTTAAAAATTAATCTACAGCAACGAAGTCGACGCCTATGGGTGTCAAACCTAACCTAATTATCTTCTTGCAGGAACAGTTACATATTGCAATTTTTCGAGTAAATTTGTTTTCTAATAATAAAATGAGCTATAGTAATTGCAATATTCTAGAAATACTGAACTTTATCGATATTATAGATAACAAATTTTTAAAATTCTATCAATAGTAATTATACAGCGAAACATAGTAATAGAATATTCTATGAATAATAACTTTCCCAAATTTTATAAATAATAATAATACAGCAAACTATACTAACCGCAATATTCTACAAATTCTATAAATATTTACACAGTAAAATATAGTAATAGTAATATCCCAGAAATTCTATAAATAGTAAATTCTATAAATACCATAAATAATAAATTCCATAAAATTCCACAAATGCTAATTATACAGCAAAACACTATAGTAATCGAAAAGATGAAAAACACCACTGCGATTAATCAAAATAATTATACCCAACGATAATCCTGTATTTAATTTCAGTATACCGCATATAAATCTGCGAATAAATAACTTAAATTTACAGCCTGCTGATCTCGCAAATAACTCACGAGCATTACTTTTAATTTCGTTTAATTTCCCGTTTATTTATACCGTTTGGTAACATTCGCATAACGTCATTTGGAATCGACAGCAGCTCCAATATAATACCAACGTACACCATAGTAGGTCGTCTGGCGCATGATTACAAAGTTATAAGAAAAATACGGAAAAGAAACAGGCGATAAGAAATTTATTACTGTGACTCGAGACAAGAATAGGTTAACAATCAATGTAATCACTCGGCATTAATAGCCATTATAAAATGTCCTCTATTTCCTTCAATATGCACCGCCAGCGATAAAGAATTGAATTTATTGCTCCGAGGAATTCATTCTCATTTTCTTCAATATCAATGAATGGATCATGGATTCCTTCATCGGTTCACATATGTTAATTCCAGCTTCATATTTCAATTCCTATAAAACCGTGGATAAAAATTCAGCAACGCGAGATCGGCCGATCCTCAAGGCCAAGGTATATTTTATAATCACTATATTATTATATTTTCTTTGAAACTTTTTAATAAAGCTGCAATAGAACGTCCTACGCCTATGTAATACCTTTTTTTAACCAATACCCATAGAATGTATAAGTCGTTCATATATAAAATCGATTAACTCGATTTTTTGAATTTTAAAAAATTTTAATCCAAAAATTGTCGAGTGATACCTAGATTTTATATTTGAAACAAATTTTGATTTCATGGTTCGTATAATTAATCAATTAAGCGAACGAGAGACTCGTATTATCGACATTTTCATGCGAATATCCGAGACACCCTATAGAAACGGAAATTTATATTTATATTATAATCTTTCTTTTTCCTAAAGCGATAATTAACATTCGCGATCTTACAGCATTCAAATTAAACACCGTTACTCATCCTCGAATCGTAATTCTTTTATTACGCGAGACCCCATAACAGTATAGAGCTCTAAGTACCGCGAGACGATGTTTTAATTTATGCCCGTGCTATATCATGGTCACGCTAACTCCTCCGCCGAAATAAAAAAGAAGAAAGAAAAAAATAATTTCGGTACGTTCGTACTGAACGAAAACACCATAAGAAACACGATAGCGATGGAACGGTGATGGTGTAAAACCGACGGTGTACACGGTAAATCGGTATTCCTTGAGAGGACGCGTAAAGTTTGAATGGCGAAGCCGCAAGTTCATCGAAAAGATCTCTCCATATAGGGTATCTAGAGGGTGATCTGGAAAAAAAGACGCCATCTCGAGCATGCTCGAAGATGGAAATTCTCAAGATCGCGGATCCTTTTGTCCGAAGCTGCTCCATCCGAAGACAAAGCTCTGTCTCTTTCCTTTATACACGCTTCTTCCCTGGCCATCCTCCCCGAACACACCACGCATACGTGTGCATAAACGCGCAACGTATACATACATACGTACACGTGATGACAATTGAACGAGATCCCGGTATGGCCGCTAGCGCACGGGCTTTGTAACGTACCACGCGTGCCTGTTTCTCGTGTGGAAGACCGTGGAAAGACGCGCGGGGAGAAGACAAATGAATACCAGAGATGGTGGATAATCAAGGAGTTCCGTTCGGGTGAAAGTAGTGGACGAAACCGAACGACACCGGCCGGGAAATGGCCGGGCGAGGGGAGGGGATAGGGGAGAAATAAATATTAAATAGAAAGACTTACCTTGTGGACAAGCGCACTCGGAAACATCTCGTTTGATCCGAAAGACATTCGATTCCGACGCAGACCGATGCATCTTCAACTCTTGCTGTACTTCCCTCTTGAGCCTCTGAATAAGAATGTCCGGTGTTTCTTGAATCTGACAGCGAGCCTCCAAATTGGCGATCCGCGATTCCAATCCTAGTTCCCTGTACATGAGTAGACCGGACACGGCCAAGCTGGTAATACAGAGGGCGCACATTGCCCAATTGAGTGTTGCACCCTTCGTTCGAAAGGAATCCTTACGGAATTTCCTCGGCATCGATGTCTCGAGGGAGTCCTTTCTCGCCGACGACGACCAGTCGGTCGCCGTGTCGGATTCCATGTTGTACAGGATCGACACACGCTCGCTTCTATTCGTGCACGCAGCGCGTTAAGCGCGCGTCATAACCCACCCGACGATCGTCGATACGTCCTGACACGACAATGACGGATAAACGCGATACAATGTAGAAACCACGCGAGTCTTACAGACTGTGCGGCGTCATCGTCCATCTGGAATGCATCTCGTGCGCCCACTTGCCGTTATTGCTTACCTCTCTTTCTTCCACTCGTTCCTTCTTCTTTTACCACGCGAGCACGCGTTCTCCTATACTCTATACCTGCGACGAACGCGCTCGTGCTCTCTTTCTCCGTTTATCCCTCCCTCTCTGCTTAGCCAGTCGACGTTCGGTTTGACCGCACACTGACGTTAGTAAACAACGAACGGTGTCACCAATCGGAACGAGTGTTAAACCGCTTGAACCGCGCGCCCGTTTTAAATGTTCGACTGCAGTGACAGCGTCTCTCTAACCGGCCGTCTTGGAGTAAATCACGATCCTATCTAACTACGCGGCAGTTTGTTCCTTTATAACCCTTCTATTTCCGTCTATCTTGCTCTTCGAACGTCTTGTCCTTCCTGTTGCCGCTGCCACTGCAAATGGAGCATCTCCCGGCGCTGTCGCATCGCGATACCTCCGGCTTGCGCACTTTCCACACTCTCCGAAATTCGAGATTGGCAAATCAGCGAGAAACACACGATCTCGATCGCCGCGGTATTCGCTTCTCGGACCGTTTCCTCTCGTGGCACACGCTACGCTAGGCGGAACGGGAAAAACGAGCGACAACAGTGCTACAACTACCGACGAAAACTACCAACGAAAGAACGGAGAACCTCGATTTCTCGTAGCATCAAGTCAGTCTAACGACGTCTCGTTACGCGGATTTCATCGATGAAACGGAAATACTGCCGTGACAACGAGGTTCGATTTATTGGGCGAATGAAAAGTCCCGAAATACCGCGAATACGAAGCTCACAGCGTGGCATTCGCAGTACGACTGGATGTGGTGGGGCGACGCTCTGCCGAGGGCCGAGGGTTCGTCGCTTCGGAGATATTCGTGTACGTTCGGCCGTCTTCGGGCCTCGACTCATCCACCGGCTGCCGGACGCGTGGAGGACGATCGGTCGACCTAACGTCCACTTCCATTCGCACTGATTCGACCCTGCTTCCCTTGCCCTTCCATTTACCCCTCCAATACGCCCCTTCACCATTCCACTGAATTTCGGCACAGGATTTATCTCTTTGTTTTTCCTTCTTTCTGTTAACTACACGAATCTCGCCGCTGCGAGTGCGCGCACAATTGTACAAACTTATTTTAAATCCAACCCTTTCATTCTCCTACGTATGTACACGGGGACGAGGTTAACGGTACGCGGTTTCACGAAAAGTTGGTCGAGCGTGAGAATTCCTATCTTCTCAAATATCAACCGGTTTCTTGTTCCCTCCGATTATTCCGTCGCGATTAACTTTTCGTAATTTCAAGTACTCATTTCGGAGTTGTTTCTTTCCAACTATCGACGCCGAAACGTAGTCGCTGTCGCGTGCTCCGAGCGAACGTAACTTTCGTCCGTTCGACTCTAATCGTTCGATACTTTTGGCGCTCGATTCAAATTTCGCCGGCCTAATAAGCGTTCTTTTCTTTAACGAATTTAACTTAATCAACAATTGATATAGCAATAATTATTATTTTTGCTTATATTATTCCTGTATAACCGTCAAATTTAGAAACTATTATTAAAATATTAAAATAATTAATTAATTATATACAATTATATACCAAATTTTTTAATTTTAATTTTCTAACAATGCTAACAGTTTTTATTTAATGCTACGTATTCTCAGATGGTTGCTCTATCTTCAATTACGAGATTAGGGAAATTAAATCGATAGGAAATTACGAATTTATAGTCGATGTAAGATTAGAACGAAACGAATGGCAACAAAGCAGTTATATTAGGAAATATCGATCGACGAATCGATCGTTTCCCTTGAAACACATCCCCTGTGTGTATACGTGACGGATACGTACAATCGACCCCTTGCTACCGTCCAATCGCTAGCACAGGAAGCGATTATAGACTACATCCTGGAACGTACGTTCGGCGTGTTCGCCCTCTGTGCGTATACTAAATCGAATGCTGTAGCAACCTGCTAATCGTATAACTAATAAGCGGACAAATCGTCGATACATGACCAGAAAGCAACGAGACAACAGAAATGGCCAAATAAACGGAGGAATATTAATTAAGCTACTCGGAAGCGAAACTTCATTTTTCTTTTTTTAATTTCCCAATTTTTATATCGAATTACACGATTGTCGTTTAATTCCACGAAAATTGAACAAATTTACCCCCATTGTAACATTTGACATTTTAAAAACAGAGCATACTAGCAAGGTAAAACAATAAATTTTAATTCGATATTAATTGCAATTGAAGAATTATATTTAACCTTGAAATATGATTTTAATTAAAAAAAAAGATTAATATCTCGATATTTTATAATATTTAATAGATAAAAAGAGGGCCCATATACTACAAAAATTTGGTGTTATTTATCAGACAACTTGATTTTTATTTATTCAGATATATTATAATATTTATTTGTATAATTACATTTATATAGTTTGATACACACGAAAATTTATTTCACGTATTTCTAAAAATGGTCAAAAAATACATGAAGAATATTAAGAATCAGGGAAGGATACAAACAAAATGAAACTGATCTGCGACCCTAAAGAAACACCCTAACAGGCACATCTGTAAAGAGTATACTCCTATCGCGTATCCGAATTTTAAAGAACGAGTGATCGGAATACTTTAAGATAAAATATAAGATATCAAATTTCAGGGGAAAGCACCAGGTGACCCCCAGGCCCACTAAAACCCTCTGCACGATTCCAGCAAGTAGGTAATACTATCTTCGTCACCGAAATCACCTAGCCATACTCACTTCCCATTAGCGTTATCAAGAGGAACATAAGTTAAACGTTGGAAAAAGAAGAAGAGAAAGTGTGGTGGTTGAAATATACGCAGCTGATGTTGGCCAAGCATACGTCGCATTCCACACCGTTGTCGTCCTGAATTTAATCGAGGCCCTTTCAGCCAGTACAGCCATAGTATATCTATAGAGTTCCACGTTTTCTTGGTCAAAGACAGTACTAATCGGTGAAAACCATTCGAAACACGCACGAAGACCAGATCTATCTTTGGTGTTTCAGCGATTCCTATGCTTCTTAGTCCTGAATATCCCCATGTTTTTCTTATCTCGAAAACCGAAGGACCAAGCTCAAGTGCGTACAAATGACTCGGAGCCTTTAATGTCTACCGCTCCAATACATAAATTTCCATATTATATTACGCATAACTCATCTTAACGTTATACCTATTACTACTCCACCGAGTATAATTTATTTATCGATTCACTTCAAATACCAAGAATTCGCACAGTCATCGTGAAAAAATGCACAGAGACCTCCCAAAAATGATCTAATCTAACCCCCAAAGCCTATCAGTGAACAAAAATTCACTCCTCGCAAACACCACGCGTTGCGCCCATAAATTCACGTTGCACACTATACCTAACTTAAAACTCACCTAAACCCCACGAACGAACAAAATCGAACGAAAAACTTCGGAGGGAAGATAAAAAAGATAAAAATTCAGTAAATCAAATATCCGCCATCTTCCCCTCTCCAACCACGATTCCATGCATCGACAAAATCACTGAAAGAACGAAAGATGGAACAAGAAATTATTCCTCGCGAATGCCATACGTTACACCCATAAATCCATAAACTATACCTAACTCGAAACTCACCTAAACCTCGCGAACGAAGAAAATGTACGGAAAAACTTTGAAGGGAAAATGGAAAAGCTAAAAATTCGGTGGATGACCGGAAGCATACGTCACGTTCCCCACTGCTGCACGATTGCATGGACCGACGGAATCGGTGGAAGAAGCTCGAGGACGCTAAATGCCACTTGTCCCATCCCTGGGACCAGCCTCGCAGCCGACAATGGACCACGTTGAGAGCCTCTGTGCGAACCACGGTTCGAGGGGTGAACTTGCAGCGTGCGTCGTGATTAAAAAGTCATCGCGGCCGATGCCCTCTTCACGGCACGTTGGTCATCGTTGGGGTGCGGTACGAGGCGCATTATGTCGCGTTTCCGCCAGGAAGCAGGCGCAGTCGGGACGACAGCCTGCACCTCGTTTCCGTGCACTCTGAGAGAACGTGCCTTGCGGACACTGCGGATAAGGATGAAGATAGCCGGCGCGCGGCTGCGAGAGGAGGACGCGAGCAGCGATAGCCGAACGGAGAAAGGGATAAACGAGAAACCGGGAGAGAAAACTGACGGAGTCTGGGGCGGGACCTACGGACACGTTCGCGACGCTGAAGCAGACTCTCGTTTCGGCGACGAATCCGAGGCTGCACACCCTCCCGGTCCGCGAATGTGTCTGCACGTGCTGGCAGGGTGAGCCACAGGGTGCAAAGGGGTGGGAGCGAATGTGCAGTTTGTATTCCGCTCGGCAGAAAATACTCGTTCGTTACAATGTGTACCTATGGACGCACTCGCCGAAACTCCACGTCCTCGACCTTATCTTCCGTTCTTCTGACGGAGCCGTCTCTTTGTATTCATAACGATAGCGAGAAGCAGCGGTGTATTAATTCGCCACTTAGGCCGGGTCTTGACATGGTTCCGGGGCTGTTTGAAGTTTGGATAATTGGAGATCGAGCGTTCGATGGGTAATTGGATCGATCGGGAACGAC